CTTTGGGGGACAGCAGGGTGCGCTCAGTCCTTCCTGGCAGCCGCCTTCCTCATGGCGGCCAGAACATTGCTGAGTTCTTGCTTCCTCTTGGCGCGGATGTGTGTCCCCACCCATTTCTTGATGAACTTGAGGGCCCGCTTGTCCTTGGAGACCCTGAGCAGCTCCATGGCGCGATGCTCGTAAGGTGCGAAGTCACGCACCTCCTGGATCATGTTCCCGATAAACTTCGTGTGCTTGGTGAGGCGTCCACAGCGGCGGCTGGGCCTCGGCTTGTTCACGTTCTTGGTGACTTTGTGGCCCTTGTTGAAGTCCACTGCCACAGGGTAGCAATAGCCATGGCTGCTGCACCTCGAGGGCTGCCGCGGCAGAAGAACAGTTGTGCTTGAAACTCCTACTGCATCAGATTTTGGACGCGGGAATGTAGCAGGATCGGTACTGAAATTAGTAGATGGGGGGGCTGGCATGTCAGACCTCATGGGAATTGGTTGTGTGTTGTGGATGCTGTTAATGGAGCCACTTTCCCTTTCTGGAGTTCATAGAGGTCAGACTTGGCCGTCGTCCCCACACTGTCCTTGCTCTTTTTACACCATAACACATGTGACTAAATGTAACGTGGTATTCTTACTCAGCACTGTGACTTGGGAACCAAGGTGGGCAATTCTAGAAGGGCTGTGACTCGGGTGTGGAGCAGGTAGGTGGATGGATTGTGAAATCAGACACCACGATTCAAATCCCTTCATGCTCCTTGTTAGCTTCTGACTGCAGGGAAGTGAAGAAACTTTCTGTGCCACATGGTGATAATTGCAGAGAAGAGTGAAGAAGCCTGTGATTGAATCGTGCCTGGATCCACAATGAACACCCTCGGTACCAGCAATCCAGATATCAAAAGATGTGCTGCATTGAGAAAAATCTGCTCTCTCCAGAGTGCTCAAGAGCAATGATGTCAGCTTAAAGACTGAAGCGCACTTGGTCCAAGCCATCATCTTTTTAATTTTTGATATATATTTTTTTAAATTTCCCCCCTTTTATTATTTTCGTGTGTGTACCGTCAAATCCGATTTGACTGGTACAGGAGGAGATTGTCCCTCCTATTCCAG